AGTACTTGCACTGCTGGAGACCTTGCAGAAAAAATAGTTTAGTGACCTATTTAGCTAACAAAGATTTTCAGTGAAGGGAATGGAAGGAAAAACTTTGAATGTGGAAACAAAAAACAAAATATTAGTGCTGATTTAGGAAGTTGAAATATTAAGAAATCAGAAACAGGATCCAGAAAAAGGTTGGGGGTTGGGAGGAGTCACAGAGACTCTAGCTCTCTATTCTGTGGCAAACAGGTCATCACCAAAGATGGGGGGTCACGTGCAGATTTCACAGCTCAATACTGCCAGAAGTGGGCAGTACTTATGCCACTTGCATCACAGCATAGAAAACAAAGAGAAGGGAAAGCATCCAGTGCACTCTGCATTCGGCACACTGAGAGAAGAGCTGAGACAGCAGACACACAAAGAAAACCACCCCCCAACATAATTTATGAATACTGACATAAAAATCCTTTAAAAAGTCAATACTCTAGCAGCACATTACAAGAGCACTTCTATGTCTATTATACTCTTAACTGCTTGAAGGAGAAGAATCATGTGATCACTTTAGTAAGCTCTGGAAGGAGATAATACTGAGTTTCATTCATTAGAAAAGACAAGATGGGCCAGGTGCAGTGGTTCACACACCTGTAATCCGAGCACTTTGGGAGGCCAAGGCAGGAAGATCACAAGGTCAAGAGATCAAGACCATCCTGGCTAACACGGTGAAGCCCGTCTCTATTAAAAATACAAAAAACAGATTTAGCTGGGTGTGGTGGCACGCACCCGTAGTCTCAGCTACTTGAGAGGTTGAGGCAGGAGAATCGCTTGAAGCCAGGAGGCAGGGGTTGCAGTGAGCCAAGATGGCACCACTGCACTCCAGCCTGGCCAACAGTGTAGGACTCTGTCTTAAAACCTAGAAATTTTTCCATTTAATTCAGAGACTAGACACCTACTCTTTACGCTCTGAGCTTCACACTATTTTGGATGTACTGCCCATGATGAATATAACTACATGATGTAACACAACTGTTACAAATGATAAAAGAAGCCAGACACCATGGCTCACCTCTGTAATCCTAGCACTTTGGGAGACTGAGGCAGGTCGACTGCCTGAGCTCAGGAGTTCAAGACCAGCCTGCGCAATGTGGCAAAACTCTGTCTCTAATAAGATACAAAAAATTAGCAAGACATGGTGGCTCATGACTATTGTCCCAGCTACTCCGGAGGTAGAGGTTGCAGTGAGCCAAGATCGCACCACTGCACTCCAGCCTAGGCAACAAAGTAAGACTCCATCTTAAAAAAAAAAAAAAGATAACAGAATTTAAGAGGATGACTGGTTCATCTGGAACAATTATGCAACACCATGAAGAAGGATTAACCTGATCAGATAACAGTAACAATGGAAAACTAATTAAATGTAATACACATCCCCAACCAGATTTTCTCAATGAACAGTGACAAGCTGATGGTAAGTGTTCATCTGGAGAAATACATGGCTAAAGCCAGCTAAGATTTTTTTTTTTATTAACAAGGGGAACTAATATATATCTAAGTACGGTAACATGGCATTTACTCAGAGACAGAAAAGATCAAAGGAGAGTCCAGAGAGGCCTGTAAATAAAGATGGTGATTTAGTCCATGACAAATATGTGGTTTCCAATAAGCAGAGAATGAACTCCACCCATATATAAAGGGAAATTCTGGATAAACTAAAAAGACAGAAACTTAAGTGCTGTAATCCCAGCACTTTAAAAGTCTTAGGCAGGAGGATTGCTTGAGCACAGCAGTTCAAGGTATATAACAAATACCACAACACAGTAAAGTGTTTGGATAACCTGCCTATATATGATAGAGGATCTAGAACAGAAATAAAGACATATTTGAAAAGAAAAAAAAAAACCTTGAAATTATAAAACTTCTGTTCAGAGATGACATAAAGGTAGACAATACATTGTCTGGAATATGACATTTCAATATTAATATCCAGAACATATAAAATTCCCACAAGTAAGAAAAAAAATGGGAAAATATGAACTCACAATCCCACACATAAACAAGAAAAAAAACGGGAAAATATATAAACTCACAAAAGAAAAAATACAAACAGGCCATAGATTTATAAACTATATCCAACTTGGTCCGTTGTGAGGAAAATGTGAACTAAACTAACACAATATATTTAGCCCATCAGATCTGCAAACCTTAAAAAGACCATTACAAATTGCTGTTGATGAAGAAAAAGCTGTCATGTACTTCAGCAACTATATGTATTCTGAAGGATTATTTTTTTTTGAGACAGGATCTCACTGTCAACCAGATTGGAGTGCAGTGACATAATCATAGCCTACTATAACCTCGAACTCCTAGCCTGAAGCAATCCTCCTGCCTTGGACTCCCAAATTGCTGGAATTAAAGGCCTAAGTCCCCAGGCCTGGCCTATTTTAAAATATTTTATTCTGTAGCTCACACCTATAATCCCAGCACTTTGGGAGGCCAAGGCAGCTGGATCACCTGAGGTCAGGAGTTTGAGACCAGCCTGACCAACATGGAGAAACCCTGTCTCTACTAAAAATACAAAATTAGCCGGGTATGGTGGCACATGCCTGTAACCCCAGCTACTCGGGAGGCTGAGGCAGGAGAATCACTTGAACCCGGGAGGTGGAGGTTGCGGTTAGCTGGAACTGCACCACTACACTCCAGCCTAGGCAACAAGAGTGAAACTCCATCTCAAAAAAAAAGAAAAAAAAAAAAAAAAAAAAAAA